TGCCTCTTACCATGGCCATTGCTGAAGCAGCCTGCTTTCTGCAGGTGTAACCTAACAGCACCTCTTCTCACATGCACTGCACACACCTCACATTTTGCCCCTGAGTTCCTCTGACTCCATGGGGGTGGGATATCTGCCTGGCAATTACAAGACAGCTTAGAAGTCTGAGGGGACTAAGGCCCCAAGTGGGAAATTTGGACCAATGGGAGCTGGGAGCTAGTAAATAACTGTTTCTCTCTTGTATCAAGCTGGCAATTCTGAAGTATATTCTACAGGGCAAGTCAAAGAGTCCCAGAAGACTCCAGGTTTTATTGCCCACAGTGATGGCTAACTTGAGAACACCCTTGTATTAACTTACCCTGTTTCACTCTTGTCATTCACTGCTGTTTCCTGAAATGGCTGTCCAAAATAAACTACCTAAAAGTAAGCCCTTGTCTCAGGTTCAGCTTTCAAGGGTGTAAGCCAGGCTAAAACACCACTAAATATAATTCCTGCAGGAAAGGCAGGATAAATGCTCAATTCTTTCATTATATTACAAATATTCAGAGTTTTGCTCTAGTTACGTCTACTACTAAACTGAAGTATTTATATGTCATCAGTGAATTTCAACCAGCTGTAGTTCTTATCCTTTTTTCATGTTCAGATTGTCCCCCTTTCAGCCAGTGGGAACTTCCTTTTTTTAAAAAAAGACAAACAACTTTTATTGATTTCAGAGAGGAAGGGAGAGGGGGAAAGAGATAGAAACATCAATGATGAGAGAGAATCATTGATTGGCTGCCTCCTGCACACTCCACACTGGGGATTGAGCCCACAACCCCGGGATGTGCTGCCTGACTGGGAATCGAACTGTGACCTCCTGATTCATAGGCTGGCACTCAACCATTGAGCCATGCTGCTTGGGCAGTGTTTAACCTCTTGTTTGAATCATGGCCTTCTTGGATAATCCAAAGACAACTTAAGGGTAGACCCCTTCTCCAAGAAATAGAGATACACACGGAACTTTACAGATCATTTCATGGGTTCAGGTACTTTCTGAATTGAAATTTATTCATGGGCCTTTTGAATCCAGGTTTAGATCCCTAAGTGAGGGTTATTGGACGTGGGAGAATTCAGCTCCCCATCTACTCTTCTAAAAACTAGAGTCCTTCCCTTAAACTGGAGATGAAAGAGGGAAGGTTTTTGGCCTATGCAGCCTGGAATGGAGGTTCAGAAGAGGTGGAGGTGAGCTGTAAACCTGTCCCCAGGAGGGGCAGTGAAAGCAGACAAGGGGTGATTATTCCACATCATTTTAAAGAGACGGCCCTCATTCTTTTTCAGAGTTGCACAGTGTGTTTCATCGTATGGCTCTACCCTAGTTATTTCAACCAGTTCCCTACTTGTGGTTATTTAGTTTGTTTCCAATCTTTTGCTATTACAAATATCACTGCGATGAATAACCTTGTGCATAAGTCATTTTGTATTTGGGGATTTTTAGGTCAAAGGGTAAATATACATGTAATTTTTTAGGGATTATCAAATTCCTTTCCATAGGTGCTGTGCACCATTTTACATTCTCCTTGGCAATATGTGTTCTTCCTGTTCTCTACAGTCTGCCAACCCAGTAGGTGGTCAAACTTTTGGATTTTTGCTAATCTGATTATTTGCCTCCTTTTATCATTGGGCCTCAAGATATACCACAATGCTTTCATCTGCTTTTGGAAGAACTCGCTTGCATAAACAATAGGTGACTGTGTTAAGAGTGCTAGAAGGAGGATAGCTGCAGAGTCCCTATCTATTTCCACTCCCCTAATCTTGTAAATGCCAAAGCCCAAAGCATACACCATCCTTGTTAAGACCTTGTATTTCCAAAGGCTGGTTCAGGTTTCCAGCCAAAAAAAAGGGGGGGTGGGGGGACACCAGGTCTGACCTTCCTTCTTCCTAAGGTCAGCAGAATGTAGAGAGAACAGTAGGTAAAGTCCACTGGTCCTCTACCAGCTTCAGGGTCCTGAGAAAGGTGTCAGCTTGCTGTCTCCACAGCAACTCAGTGCCCAGCAGAAGATGTCCCTGTGTATGGCTGGGGGTTTCTTTAACCCGCAGGGCTGCCCACACCCAGGACCTTTTCTTTGCTGCTTTGTAAAAGTCAATGCCATGGGTGGAAATTATTTTTTTCTTTAGCTTCTCCCATTTCCCTGTAGGCTCATGGGCGATTCTGCCTCCAAGGGTTATTCTGGCAATGTCTTGAAACAAATCTAGTTATCCTAAGTTGGACAGGGATACTGCTCGCAGTCAGTGAGTAAGAGGCCAGGATGTCGCTAAACATCCCACCATGCACAGGACAGCCCGCCCCGCCACAACAAAGAATGATCTGGTCCCAAATGTCAATAAAGCCAAGGCTGAGAAACCCTGCTGTACTCTTTCTTTATGCACACACTCACAGACATCCTTGAAGTGACTGTAGGCAGTGTTAGTTCAGGAAAGGAAGAATCACAGACACTCCTCCCCGCTCCTCCGAAAGTCACCTGCAATTCAGAAATCTCTTTAGTCAAAGAGACTCTAAGGAGTTATATATTTATCTGGAAGATTAAAGAACAAATACCATTTTAACCTTCTAAAAACTGATTATCATTAGGTATAACACAACCTTTTAACTGTAAGCATGAAGGAAAGTGCTGATTATTTAAAATAAATGGGACCAAGAGTCCCATGAATAATAAAAAACTTGGTTAATAGAGTATGACCAGAGAATAATGCACTTGGCTTCTGTGGAGAAATTAAAGTACATGTTGTGAATTGGTATTAAGCAAATTGCAGGAAAAGTTAGCCTTAAGGTACCGTGATTCTGAAGAAACAGCCTCAGGGGCACAATATATCACATTCAGCCTTTATCTGTCCTGTTTTGTTCATGACTTCTTTCACCTTGGATAACCCAGCTCAGGCCTTGGAACTTTTTGGAATGGTAAGGTATCGCACTCTCCACATTTACTTTCATCTAGAACAGACCTGAATTTTATTGCCAGGAGTTTATCTCTTGCAAATGAATTATTTTTGAACTTTAGTTTGCCTTACTTATTTTGTGGGCACAGACTGTGTTTAATACTTCTGAGCATAACTCACTTTATCTAAAATGTATCCCTGAAGAGTTATGCCTAAACTGAATGTTTGGCAATAAAATCCAATTTTTAAATCATGAGGGAAATTTGCCATTCAAAGGGAGTCTGGGGCTAAACCTTTTTGCAAAGTGAATAATTATTCCTTAATTTGCCCCTTGTTAAGTCCGATTTTTAAACGGAGCCCAAGTCTAGTCCAGTAGTATGCATGATGCTAATTTAAAATATATCAATCATGAATTTGAAAGGATTTTGAAAGTTGAAGAGAGCTTTGCAAGCTATTTTTAAGAGTGTAAAACTGCATTAATACATCATTTTTTATTAATAAGGGTTTTAACACTTGTTTGGGATGACAAGAGAGGATGCTAGACATACTTGAAAAAAAGAATAGGTTGCATTATAGAAATGATAACCACACTAACGGCAATAAGGAAAAAAGAATGGTTGGTAACGTGTCATTTTGAGTCTCTAACGTAGTTTAGAGCGTGGATTTAGAAAACAGATTGCTTGGGTTCCCATCCCTGCTCAGCGTGGCCTTAGGCAATTTGCAGGACTTGGCTGTGCCTCAGTTTCTTCATATAAAACGTGGAGAATACTACCTACCTAATGGGGCTGCTTTGAGGATTCTGCGATCATACACGAGCTATACTGAAGCACTGGGGTCAGCCGACCAGTTCTGAATCCTGGAAGGGGAGCTCTTCCAAAGAGGTGACTCTCCGCACCCTTGAGGGAGGTACGGCTGCTTCTGCCCATGGGGGTTAAACCAGCCTCAGCGAGGAGGCCAGTGACTTGGATCAAGACAGAGGACATTCTTTGGGGAAAAAGAACCCTTTGGGCCGGGCCACGCCACTTTCCGTCTGGTTGGGATCTGAGGGCACGAGATCAGACCCACGCGTGCCCTTTGCATCCCCACTACCCCCGAGCCACAGCTCCGCAGAGCCCGCAGCCGCAGAGGTCGCCACCACGGGGGCCCAGGACCACGGCCGGGGCGGACGATGAGAGCTACCAGCCCGCGGCTTTCCAGGGAGGGTGGCCGACGCCCTCCTTTCCGGGCGGGCTGGAGGCCTCAAAAAAAGACCCTCGTTCATGACACAAATATTTGTGTGTGCCCACGCTGTGCTGGGCGCTGGGGATGCTCTGCTGATCACACTCGGCTTAGACTCCAGACTCCAGCACTAAGCATCTGCCACGCCATTCCCGCCACCCTCGGCCCCCACAGGCCAGAGCCAGGGGGTGGGAGGAGCTGAGGCCTCCACCTCCAGAGCCACGCCCCCTTTGGGCTTTCACGGCTGTGCCGTAAAGCAGGGAGCAGTCTTAGCTCCAGAATAGCCCGCCTCTGTCTTTACGACAGGCCGCATTCCCCGCCTCTAAAGATGGCGTCCCCCATTTAGGTATCCCCCATGGTTTCTACCCCAGCTGGCCGGGGGCAGTGCTGAGCTAGGGCAATTATCTATCTAGGCTGGGCTGCAGACAGCTGCCGTTCAAGTTCGCTTCTGGTTACAGCTTCTAGAACCCACGCACCTCTAAGGGTCAAGAGTCGCCGATTCCTTCTAGTCCCTGCAAGTTCCTCCTCTGCCCCTGGTTCGTTTCCCCGCGCCACCTCCGGGCATCCCGAAGCCCCTGACACTCCCAGACTCAAACTATGAGCCTTCCGCCACTGCTGTTGCGCTCGCCCCGCCATCTCCGGG